GTGGCATCACAGCTCACAGCAACCTCCAACTCCTGGGCTCAAGCGAGTCTCCTGCCTCCGCCTCCCAAGTAGGGGGGACCACAGGTGCCCACCACAATGCCCAGCTATTTTTTGGTTACAGCCATCATTGTTTGGCGGTCACAGGCTGGATTCGAACCTGCCACCTTAGGTGTATGTGGCTGGTGCCTTAGCAACTTGAGCCACAGGCGCCAAGCCTAGGATTCTTGAGATTTTAAATGGATTTTAAACCCGTTTGGTTTTAAAAGTCTGGGTTGCCCAAATGTAGTATATAAGTAAGCTAGCATTTTAATCGTCTGCATTGGTGTGTACCTTCTAAGGACTAATCTTCTGTAGTATCTTTAATAGGATTATACTTTACTTGATTTGTCCTTATTTGCATTTATCTATTTTGTCACAATGAAAAATTAGAATTACTTTTTTTTTTTTTTTTAGAGAGTTTTACTTTATTGCCCTCAGTAGAGTGATGTAGCATCACAGCTCACAGCAACCTCCAACTCCTGGGCTTAAGTGATTCTCTGACCTTAGCCTTCTGAGTAGCTGGGACTACAGATGCCCGCCACAACACCTGGCTATTTTTTTGTTGCATTTTGTCCGAGGCCAGATTCAAACCTGCCACCCTTGATATATGGGACCAGCACCCTACCCACTGAGCCATAGGCGTCGCCCTAGAATTACTTTAGGACAGTGGTCCCCAGTCTTCTTGGTACCAGGGGCTGGTTTCATGAAAGACAACTTTTCATGGGGTGGGGGCCATACGGATGCTATTTCACTTCATTACCCACCGCTCATGTCCTGGCGTGTGGCCCCGTTCCTGAGTTTCAAGGAAAATGATTTTTCCACAGTGGTAGGAGGCTGAACTCTGCGACCTGGCTCCTAGTAGGCCAGACCACCTGAACTGGGGACAGCTGCTCTAATCAGAACAGGAACAGGAATGGTAGAAGAAGGTCTTTGTGTTTTAAACTACTGAGTGGGATTTTTGTATCATCGAATAGATGTATCTTCATTTGAACAGCAGCTCCAAAATTAAAGTTGCTAATGTTGTGCCTTGAAGTGGTGCGGCCCAGTTTGTCCAAAGCTCTTTCTGTTGACTAACTAGCTCCACGTGAACTGCCAGCCGAGCCACACGGTGGAAGTCATATAGCAGCATGTTAAAATTCGATGCATTTTTTAAAAAGGTAAAAATTGAAGACTTTGTGTATTAAAGACATCCTGACTTCTTTTCTTTCAGCTCATATGTGAGATTTGATATAATTCGAAGGATCCTAACCAGAGTTTTCGGATGCAACATCGTCATGGTGATGGGCATCACTGACGTGGATGACAAAATAATCCAGAGGGCCCGCGAGGTAAGTGGAGAAGGCGTACATTATGGGAACTGTTGATTGGTGTTCTGACTCCTACCTCTGGTTGTTCTTACTGGTATTTTACAAGTAGTTCTCTTATCTTACCATCCACATAGGGCCCAGTGAGTGTAATTTAAGACAGGAAGCCGTGGGGGTTAATCTCAGGGTAATCTCGTCCTAGTGAAGGACGTGGGATTGTGGTCTCTACGCCCCATTCTTCTGACACTTCCTTTCATGCCCCATGCTTGCTTCTGTCAGGAGTTGGGCACTGATGCAGTGGCTGCCCTTGGTGACGTCAAAGGCCCATGCAGGTGTTGCCCTGTGCAGGCTGACCTCAAACCTGGAGTGCAGTGCCCAGGGCCACAGGAAGGTGTGGTGGTTGAGGTTACCCTCTCGGGCAGGCAGGAGGTGGGGCTTTCCCAGGTGGTTGAGAATCCAGAGCCCTGCACGTCACCCCCTGGCAGAAGGGTTTGGGGCGGGGGGGTCTTTGCCTTTGCCTTTTTGGTACTGCCAGCATGTACAGTATTTTTTTTTTTTCTGAGACCGAGTCTCACTATGTTGCCCTGAGTAGAGTGTCGTGGTGTCACGGCTCACAGAAACCTCAAACTCTTGGGCTTAAGTGATTCTCTAGCTTCAGTCTCTCAAGTAGCAGGGACTACAGGCGCCAACACAATGCCTGGCTGTTTTTTTGTTGTAGTTGTCATTGTTTAGCAGGCCCAGGTCAAGTTCGAACCCACCAGCCCTGGTGCGTGTGGCCGGCATCCTGACCACAGAGCTACAGGCCCTGAGCCAGCTGTGACACTCCTAAGAACACACTTAGTTTCCTAAGGTGGCACTTTTCTGAAGTTACATTAGTTAGAAGAGCTTTGTCTTAGTTTTGTGCAGCTGTGACAGAGCACTGGGGACTGGGCGACTTACAAAGGACAGGAGCCTATTGCCTCGAGTTTCCAGACGTCATAAGTCCAAGGTCAAGGCACAGGTGTCTGACAAGGACCTTTTGTGCCCTCAGATGGTAGAGGCAAGAGGGTGCGGAAAGAAGAGTCCATGCCCGGAAGCCCTTTTGTTAAGGCATTAAAGCCACCGGTGAGGGCAGAGCTCCCTACCCCAATCATCTTCTTAGAACTGTTAGAAGGGCAGACAGATTTCAATGTGAGCTTTACAGGGGACAAACACTCAAACTCTAGCAGTGTTTCTGGTGCTTTTTAAAAAAAATACTGAATTTTATGGGCAGCTCCTGTGGCTCAAAGGAGTAGGGCGCCAGCCCCATATGTCGGAAATCGTGGGTTCAAACCCAGCCCCAGCCAAAAAAACTG